GTAACCTTAAGTGTAGGCATGCATAAAAATTTGCTGAAAATTGGGTTGTGGTACATGTTCTTATTTTAGATTTGCCCTTGTTAACGTCTTTTTAATAAACAGGTGCATACACTTCCCCAAGCTGTCACTGTTGTTTATCCAGTCTGCACACTTTATAAATCTACTAATGGAATAGACCCAATCATCTCAAGAATCTGTGCTTTAATAAGCTACAGTCTCAAAGTTTTCAGGAAAATACTTTCTGGCACTATAGTTCTGCTGGATACAAGCTTCACAAGGTTTGTTTTTCAAGATTAAAAAAAAAAAAAGTGACACAATTTCACTTTTCAGCACAACGTAATAGAGAGTTTCATACATGCTTGACATTAAGATTAGCAACCAAGTGGGATGGGTGGAAGGAAAGGGAAATAAAAAGGTGTAGAGAAAGGTGGAAAAGGCTTTCTTTCAGTGAAGTTTGAAACCAAGAGGATGCTTCCCACCAAGCACCTGGATCAGTGAGGTGTAGACTCAGGGTTACTGTCACTAGGCAGCACCAGCAGCCCCCACTCCCTAAGTTTCATTCCTTTCTCCACCTCTTGACTCAGGGCAGAAGAACACATCACAACACAATGGAGACACTGTTTTTAATTCCTACCAATTCCTAGTTTTAATTTCAACATTTTTTTCCTCAAGTGCTTGAACCATTAGGCTGCAATGCAAATCTTGGCCTTGTTCACACAGAGAAGGAACCGTTACCAAAGGCTGTCCTTGGAAAAGGATTTTACACGGTGGAAGTTGAAGGGATGCAGGAGCTCCCTCTCCACACTGCAGTCTTTCACTGTAATCACAGGTCATTTAAAGAGCCTCACAGGTCATTTAAAGAGCCACCCCAACTGCTTGACCACTCCATCAAGAGTGCTCAGGCACTCACAGTTGTGTTGATGGAATGTGAATATGTTGGCTTAATTTGGGGTAGGTATTTCATGCCTGTAAAGAGCATGAACTCTCTCCTGGCTTTCCCTAGAAGATCTAACTAAATATCTAACTTTGATTCAAGCCAGCATCAGAAAGATGTGGACCTGTTGGAGCATATCCAGAGAAGGCCACAAAGATGCTCTGCGAGCTGGAGACCCTCTGCTATGCAGATAGGCTGGGAGTTGGCTGTTCAGTCTGGAGAAGAGAAGGCTCTGGGGAGACCTTAGAGCGCCTTCCAGTGCCTAAAGGGGCTCCAAAAGAGCTGGAGAGGGACTTTGGACAAGGGCCTGGAGAAACAGGACAAGGGGGAAATAGTTCTAAACTGAAGGAGGTTATGTTTAGATTGGATATTAGGAAAAAATTCTTGCCTGTGAGGATGGTGAAGCCCTAGCACAGGATGCCCAGAGAAGCTGTGGCTGCCCCATCCCTGGAAGTGTTCCAGGCCAGGTTGGATGGGGCTTGCAGCAACTTGGTCTAGTGGAAGGTGTCCCTACCCATAGCAGGGGTCTTGGAACTAGATGATCTTTAAGATCTATTTCAATCCAAACTATCCTGTGATTCTGGATCCCATTAAGGAGACCAAACATTTACTGCTGGATTTCAGGTCTCAACCTTAAGCAGCACAGACACCATTTATGAGATTCATCCCATGGTTTTGAGAGCCGCAGCTCTAAAGAAACCAATAGTTACAGTTAGTGTATTAATACATCTAATAATTGCTTTGCTTTTGAAATAGGTAAATAAGTTAAAGGTATATAATTTACTGCAGATCCCAGATTCATCTCATGAGCTTTTCGATTGCATTGCTGGAGATCAGTATTGTCTGACCATAGACTGCAAACCGTAATTGCTGAAATTTTTTCTAAGTAACACCACGGGAAGAATTTCTCCTTTTAATTCTTTGCTGAAGGTGTCAGTTTGATAGCCATGGAGAATGTAATGTGTAATATTTATCTCACAGAATCACAGAATGGATCAGGTTGGAAGGGACCGCAGTGGGTCACCTGATCCAAACTCACTGCTCAAGCAGGGCCATCCCAGAGCACATGGCACAGGATTGTGTCCGGATGGGTCCGGAACATCTCAAGTTGGGGAGACTCCACACCCTCTCTGGGCAACCTGTTCCAGTGGTTGGTCACTGCACAGGAAAGAAGTTCTTCCCCATGTTCAGGTGGAACTTCCTGGGCATCAGTTTCTGCCCGTTCCTCTTGTCCCATTGCTGGGCATCCCTGAGCAGAGCCTGGGCCATCCTCTGCCCCTCCCTGCAGGCACTGACACACATTGATGACGTCCCCTCTCAGTGTCTCTTCTCTAGGCTGAACAGGCCCAGCTCCCTCAGCCTTTCCTCGTCACAGAGATGCTCCAGTCCCTAAATTGTCTCCGTAGCCTCCGCTGAACCCTCTCCAGGATCTCCAGAAGTCAGGGGAACGAAAGCAGCAAAATAAACTTTCATTCTCATTCAAGTTAGTTGGAAGGTCCCTTCCAATCCAAACCATTCTGTGATTCTATGTTTTATTAACTAAGAGCTTCCTATGTTGCTATCAGAAGAAGAAAATTTCTAGCTATCACCAGCTTGGTTTGCACTAAAGTCTATGGCCTATACACGAGAGGTCAAGTAACCCCTTATGTACACCCAAAGCTCTCCAGCTCTTAAAGGGCTCTTTAAACCTAGAGCTTGATATGACCTGATGTAGTATAAGTTTCACAGTGCCTCATTAGCCAAAGAACCTTTGAGCAGTCTCTGTGCTGGTCTGAGTCACGGTGACCCACGCAGAACTCTGCTCACGGTGCAGACTTCACCTCCAACAGTATTCTTTCCGGGAAAAAGGCAAAAAAAAAAAAAAAAAAAAAAGAAAAACATTTTACAGTTTTACAGCAGCAAGCCTGGGTGCAGGACAGATCGAGTGATTTGCCATGAAAAAAGTCAGAGGGCTCATTAGAAGCAAAGTTATTAGGCCAAGCAAACAGTTAATCCCTGTCACACAGAGGTAACAGAGTTGCCAGCCTTGAACTCCAAATTAAAGGCACTCTCTGAGCACCAGAGAAGTGACTCTTTTCTGCAGCTTCCTCAGTACCATCCGTCTACCATAATGCTGTGGTGTTTTTCTTTCTTTAAATTCTGGGCTCTAACTAATTACTGGCAGGAAGTGCCTATTTTTATGCCATTAGTATGCAAATGAGCGAGAAGTAGAAAAATATTCTAAAGGAACTGTTACAATATCTGTCCACAGATTACTGGCCAATTAGAACATGGGATTAGGGCTGCAGGACCCCAAAAGAGTATGGCCAAAGTCTTTCTGCTTGGGTGCCTCAAGTGTAATTTCAATGGGAACTGTATATACACGGTCCTTTTCCTCAAAAAAAAAAAAAAGGGAAAAAAAAGTTCGAGGCTAAATTGCCTGCTTACAAATGAGCACTTCTACACTTGAAAAATAAATGCCTTCACTTCCTTGCCTCAATTTTTCTATCAATAAATTGGGGATAAAACATCCTGTTTGTCTGTGTTCCAGCACGCGCTGGGGGCAAATTATTCAGCCAGACTGAAGGTCTCCTCGTCTGTCACCCTGTCTGAAAGACACAATCTTACGAAATTATTTATAAGTTGTGTAATAAATATTAAAAGATTTTCAGGTCTTAACACTTTGGCCTAGGTAAAATCCAGGAAGAACTATCTGCCTTGTGATGTTCCAGCATTTCCAGAGTCAGGAATTCAAAAGTGCAGGACAGCGGAAAGTTATTGGAAAACAACTTTACTAGGCTTTTTGAACCTAAAAACTCGTGAAACAAAACTCTGCATTGTCCTAAGGGAATTTCTTAGGCAAATCAGCCTTCTCATCTTTTCACAATCACTGATTAGCCAGAGTAGGAAAAAATACATAACTCCTCAAGTTACTGGTGTTGATGCCTCTCACAGCTGTACTCTGTGGAAATTTTGCTTTGTCACTCCATTAGATGTTACTCATTTTGACTTCCTATTAAAAAAAATAAGAAAAGTTTATGTCTACATACCAGAGATAACACCACGCTAAACTGAGCCAGTGTGACAAAATGTTTCTCTTCTAAAAAAGTTTTCCTGGAGAGGTTTGCCATTCACTGTGGCCAAAAAAAGGGTTGATACACCTGGCTGGAATGATAACACTCCAGAGGAGGCCACCAAGGTGATCCAAGGGATGGAGCTCATCTCCCATGAGAAAAGGTTGAGAGAATTGGGATCGTTCAGCCTGAAAAAGAGAAGACTTTCAGGCGACATAACTGTTGCCTTCCAGTACCTGAAGGAAACTTACAGGAAAGATGGGGCAAGACTATTTCCAAGGGCACTTAGTGACAGGACAAGGGTGAATTGGTTCAAACTGCAAGAGAGTAGGCTTAGATTACATATGAGGAAGAAATCTTTCCCTGTGAGGGCGGTGAGGCCCTGGCACAGGTTGCCCAAAGGGGCTGTAATTGCCCCTGGATCCCTGGAAGTGTCCAAGGCCAGGTTGGATAGGTCTTGGAGCAACGTGGGATAGTGAAAGGTATCCTTGCCCACGGCAAGGGGGTTGGAATGAGGTGAGCTTTAAAGGTCCCTTCCAACACAAACTATCCTGTGATTCTGTGATGATTCTATGGTAACACCTGCCCAGCTCTCCCAGAAGCAGCATCACCTGAGAAAGCTTGAGTTAGGGAAAAAACACACACACCTCCTACTCATTTCCAACCAGTAACAGCCCTGATTTTCACTCGTTTCAGCTGCTTCTCCCAGAAAACCATGGGTTTTAATTTTTTTTTATTTAGCCCACGTGGCACACAACTCCTCGTTATTTACCCCTTCCACCCCTCCCCACACTCTTCCCGAGTGTCCCCTCACTTCATTTCACACGGTTCGTTTCACCCTCCCCGCATCACTTCGCTCAGCATCCTCTCTCCTCACTCCCCCCCCTTCCCCCGGCTCCATCGGCCGGGCTATCCCGATGGAACCCCCCCCGGGTGCCGGGTCCCCTCTCCCCGCGGACAGGGAGGGTTCCCGGGCGGCGGGGCGGGAGGGGGGGCCGGCTCTGAGCCGAGGGAGGGGCCGGCACGGCGGCGCGTCGGTGCCGACGGTCTCCAGGAGGGAGCGAGGAGGAGGAGGAAAAGGAGGAGGAAGAGGAGGAGGAGGAGGAGGTGAGCGCCCTCGGGGTGGGGTGAGCAGCGGGGCCGCCCGCGCCAGCCCGGGAGGGAGGGAGGG